TTTAAAAAAGTTGTGATCACTGGACTTATTTTTATAAGTGCGAAAGAATAGTGCAGTTTTGTAAATTATATTATCGTGATGTGGCAGCTACCTCCAGACCCGCCAGCAGATGGCTATAAAATGTTTTTTATAAACTAACTTTCGATGAAAAAGATGAATTTCTAACTTTAGATTTTATTACATATGTAATTTATTCAACAATTTTAATAAATCACTGTCCTTTCAAAACATCGCTTCAGTAAAATACATCGGACAAAATTAATATATGTCAGTCATTTTTCTAAACTATTTATTCTGAAAGTGGCTTAAGTCACTTTACCGTAATGAAAAGTGGTGATTTTTTAATGTTTATACGAAATTATTTATACCGAGAAAATTATCAGTATCCTGAGATAATAAATACAAGTAAATCTTCTCGAAAGTTAGCATCCATATTTTTAAACGTGTTAAAACGCAAACCCTTAAATATATCGACTTAAAAACAAAGTGACTTATGCCACTTTCAAAATAATCGGCTCATATGTACTCAGCTGTGACATATTAACCCTTTTGCACTTGGATGTTCCCTCCCAAAACTGCCGATAATTGCGCTACTTTCAAAATGAACCATTTTCGTTTCGGAAAATCTGTATCAATAGGATCTTTTATCACATTTTGTTTAATGAGATTAATTTTTCCAATGTCTTAGCGTTTTATATTTTCTTCTGCGAGTGCAAAGATTTAAAACGACCAGTTTAAACGCTCTCTTTACCGACTATAATAGAGAATTTCATGCATTTATGATAAACACGAATGCACGAAGCACAAGACAATATTTCTGAAGAATTTTGAATGAATTTCATTCATCGTTTGAGAAATGAAGTTCCATCTAACTCCAGTTTCGTTAAATTGTCTCAAAAAATTCTGATCTAGCATGCAGATCTGTTACTTGTATCTGGATCTGTTACTTATTATTTCCAATGATTTTTTTCATTGTACAGTTTATCGACAATTAACACCGTTTCATTCGTTATAGAAGTTTAATATGTACTTGTGCTTGTGTTAAGCTTCCATGTACCTTGAGCAAAAAAATGCTTCCAGTATTATGCTATTTTAAGCGAGCGTCATATATGATACGCAACGTCGCGAACGCGTATATATGTCTATAATTATTTTAAAAAATACACAGCTGCATTTGGGAGACTTATGCCACTTTTAAAATAATCGGCTCAATTACTCCAGGACTGAAACAGATGTTTTGTTCGTCTATATTAAACAAATTCTCGATTTTCTATTTCCATTCTACTTTCATCCACGGCATTGTCGTCGTAGACGACAATAACGTCATAAACCGAAATGGTAATACATATCGGGCGAGACACTCGGCAGTTTCATATTTGGACAATGAAAAGTGTAACGAAGACCTCCGTTTGATACGGCGTGTGTTGTACGCAACAATGCTGCAAGAAGATCATAAAGATCGGCCGGAGAGGGTTTACGGCCAGTAGTAATAACACAAATAAATTACCAACCGAAACAAAACCTCAATGGTGGCGCAGCGAAGGCTTTGTATCTGTTACGGATACGGGGTGAATTATGTTACAATCTAGCACCGTAACGTTGCATTGTCTCGAGTAGCACGGTGAGCTCGGATCGGTTCACCTGAAGGGGTTATCGCGAGGGGTAGACGAACAACTCGACACACTCCTCGATTAACTTGATGCCAGTCGTCTGTATTCTTGACTTAAGGCTTGCAATATATTTAGACGAATCACGCACAGTAGAAATTCGAGAATGTTTTTGTTCCGCAAGCGGAACTGGGCTCAAAGGCCATAAGCGGTAATGCCTGTAAATTTATAATCTACAAGGTTTATATATAGGCATTTGCATTTTATTTATTGATAAAATAAACGATGATTAGATCTTATTTAATTATGTATTCGCGATTACTTGCAACGACTTGTTGTTATTTATCTGGAATGGAAATTATTTATGACCCGGCCTAATAGAAATTAGGCCGAGTCATTATAGCTAAAAAGTTCAATTATAGTGTGGGCCACTTGACTGACAATACATATATTCGTTAATAAAGAAATGTTCGGAATTGTAATGTATTGAATATTCTAGGTTATATTTGAAAATAAAAGGAGAAGCGAAACAGAGAATTGTCGTTTAATGAACTTTCTGCTGCGCTAATTAGCTCGTTCGCGTACAGCTAATATGTAACCCATTCTTTTCACGGAACATTTCCATCGACCTAACATGAACACCGCAAATGAATGAATTCCATCACCCTTTTCGGATCACTGGTTATACAACAATTTCAAGAAACTAGATATTTGGACCACGTTGGCACATCCCCACCGCCATTTTTAGACAAATTTTATTTTATATATTATATTTATTTATATTATTGTTATATATTTTATATATTATTATATATTTTATTTATATTATATTATATTTTATATAAAAAGAATTTATACTCACGTGTGTACCGGGCTTAGAATCGCACTTAGGCCGCTAATTCTGATCTCGCAATTCTCAATGCGTCACGACTTTACGCTTAAACACTTCGAAAGCCCTAATTCATTTGTGTTATATTGAATTCATTTCGATTCTTAACGATTCTAGCTGCTACTATCAAGTCCACCTCGCTCGAAGTGCGCAATGTTAATAAGTTACGAGGCTAAATTAACAATTTCCTATACCTTGAATCCCCTTGTGGGTACTCCTGGCACGGCGGTGAAACAGATCTCGTCTCGTCCACGTCCCCAAGTAACCTTTATGTGGGTCCCGGTGGTGAAACAGATCGTCTACCACTAACAAACTCTAACAAACACTCACAAAAATCAAAGAAATTCTCGGTCACGCACGACTGCCTTAGCCCTGGACTCATAACATTAGTCAAAATTCTTTTCTCACGCTTTGTCATAGTTAATAAAACGGTCTTTTCAATAGACTGATCGATGTGCTCGATATTTTATAAAAATAGGAATCAAACCGAATAGTGGTAACTTTATAATAAATATTAGTAACTTTAGAATTTCACCATAGATGACATAACCGACGAGATATTCTGGGGTTTGTATAAGTGAATTAATTGATTCTAATGTTTAAGCTCATACATACAATTTAATTTAATATTTAATATTTTTAATTGAAATATTTAAACGTGAAATGATTGAATCAAGTAATAAAATATTCACTGGTTTCTGTAATTATGTTCACTCTTAGAAGGATTATTATCAATTGATATTCGTTGACAAGTTACACTAAATAGTTGAGTGTATGTACAAGCTAACAAAAATATCATTAACATAATCTAGTAACTTATCAATACTAAAGTTGTCGATAAAATAGAAAATTTCAGTAACAATAGTACAGACATTGCATGCAATGCTTTTTTCGCTCAGGGTATGAATTACCGACTCTGTAGGAAATGCTGTGGTACGATAGCGGACTCTACCTAAATGGAACGATCAACTAGTGAACTATATCTGACTGCAACAGAGAAAAGTGTGAGACTCGGAAGATCAAACCGCTCGAATATTCGAGTATACCAACAGAGAGATCCTTACCATTTCGAGTCGCACTCAGCATTACCGACAGTTCACGAAAAATAGACACGCTAGCAAGAACCGAATATCCTGCACATTTCATTTCTACTACGAGTGCTAAATATTATTTGGAGGCAATAAGCCTCGAGGGAATAAATGGTGGAAATAGTTTGTATGAAACATGTACCACAGAAATACAATATAGTGTAACTATTTTTATGGCCAGTTGAGTGATCATTTCTACTAATCATC